GCATATTACAATATTACACTCGATGTAGAAGCTTCTAGCTTTCTAGCATTGTGATGTTCCCTTTCCGTTCAGTCACAATTTTAATAGATATTTTAATGGCTTAAAGAAAGATTATTGAAGGACATCTTATGCTTCACACATATACACATACAAAGGGATATGTCTTTAAATAACTGTGGCTGTATTTCATATCTATAAAGGTAATTTGATTTGACATAAAATATTTATTATAAAAAACAAAACAAATCAGATAGTGACTTCTATTATCTTTGCCACTGACCATTTATCTGCCTGGAGTCAAATCGACAGCATAACGCATAAACTGAAAAATAATTTGTATGCTTGTATCTTGTTAAGCCAAGCAAACCACCTGTTCAAATAAGTAGGTCCTATTATAAACCAGATGTTTTTCTGCCAAAAGGAAATGGAGGACTTAGAAGGTAACAAACCATTGCTATCTAACCTTTAGTCTTTGTCTAAACATGCAAATTATAAATACCCCACACAAATACACACATCACAACACTTCTAAAAATGGTACTGTTTCACAGTTTTGCTGTTAAGTATGACCTTCATCAGTTTTCTCCCTTTTTAGTCATTGGTGTTGTTCTAGAAGTGCACTAAGCAAACAGAAACCAGAACACTGAGCTTGTAACAAAGCAACTGGGCTGTATCTCCACATGCAGCTTGTATCCTTGACGTTTGCACTGTGTGTCTACACACTGCATTTTACAAAACCATATTTTGATGCACGAACTAAAAATGCCACCTTCTGTTAAGGAAAGGTTAGAAATCAAACTGCAACACTGCAGCTACAATAAAGCAAGACACATTTTAGCCATGAGAAAGTGTTTCTTCTCTGCACAAGTATGTGATAATATTAATGATCAACACTGACAATATCTTTTCATGCACTTACACAACCTTTTAATCTAAAAAAATTCAATATGGTTATAGTAAGAGCACACCTTCATTATCTATATTCCTACAGGCAGCCATTAAACCTACTCATTCTATTTTTATTTTCCTTACACAGCAAAGTTGGCACAGAAAACATTTCAAGATCTCCCCCTGGAAAGCTTTTGATTTTGGCCTGAGCTCATAAGACTGTTAAACACTTCTGAGAGTCCCACCATCTTCAAATCCATCAGCATGTTACAAGGAAGTGATTCTTTCTCTAGAGCACAAACAGCATCAGTACCTTGTACCAGTAGAAACATAAGTATATCCATAAAAATACACATAAACTATTCTAGACACATTATCAAACCTATCCAGCTCTGAGGAATCATTAATAATTGAACGGCAAAAGTACCATAAATGCAGGCCATTGTGCTTTACAATCAGATTGCAGTTGTATATTATGCCCCTTCTAGCACAAATTAATTTATATTCTGAATTTTGAGAAACCTTGAAGTCAAAATACAGATTCTGATGTGTTATAAGGACATGCAAATAAACCACTAGTTACCCTGTTTATAGTAAGGAGAAACACATTTTAACAAAACTAAATTACATGTCTGAAATCCAAAGTAAATACCTACCCAATATTAGAAAACATCAAATTTTAGTCCCTGAACTGCCACTGACCCAATGAGACAAGATTGGTTAAATTTGTTGGGGCTTGGTTTTTTGAGGATTGTTTTATTGGGGTTTTTTGCAGGTTCAGTTTGTTCCTTTTCTTGTTTTGATTTCCCCCTTCCTTTCTTCTGCTATTCCAGCATTAAAAAAGTGAAATGGCTAATAGAACACACGTACCTAATCAAGCCCCTGGACTTCTAAGGAACACTCACAAAGCATCATTTGCACCTAAAATTACTGAATTTTCCAAAAGCAAGAAGGAACTTCTGGGATGGGGAATCAACCTGCTGTAATAGGAGAGCTTTCCTCTTAGCAATTATAACTTTCCTCAGGTTCTGATTGTCCAAGCACTACCTCTCTCATCAAGACAAGCTCTTTACATTGTTATCAAATTTTACAGACCATCATTTAAATTCCTTTTTATTGAACACAATATTTATTAACATCTTTTAGAGATACAAATCAAAACATCACAACTAACAAGGCTGTTGTAAGAAGAGCATTTAAGCTCAGTTTCTCAATGTGTAGTGTCAGTATGGGACAATCACCTAACTTGGATGCCCAGTTAAGACTCCTGCTACTTTCTTTTTATTAGCATGAGGCATCTAATGATGGTATCCAACGACAGTATACAAACCACGTTGTCGACCCAAACTAACAATACAGGGGACTCATGTCAATTTTTGCCATGGATGGGCAAGTCCAGTGTTGGCCTCATAAAATAACTCACAAGAGACAACTGTACAGAATAGTCTTTCTTGAAGTTATATTCCCAAAGAATAATCCCAGGGGAGCTTTATTCTCTTATCCTTACAGTAAATTACTTTTCTCAACTCAGAGATTTAAGATTTCATTGCTTTTTAAGTTAGCAATGAAAGATTTAATCACAGATTTGTTAAATTTAGCCACAGAACATAGGTTTTCCAGAACCTTCAAAGCTCCAGCAGGAGTTACAGTAGAAGTTCACAACTACAAATACTACTGAAAAACTTTTGGATTTTCCTTCCAGTAATAACTCACAGCTTGCGTTTACCAATAAAGAAATCCATCACTGTGTCCCCAACGCCATCTGGGAGATTAGGCTTTTGGCAGAGAAAAATGGAGCAGCAATTGCCTAGCAGCACAGGAAATCAATGACTTCCCCATGCAGGGGTGAGCAACAGGCTGCTCCTGCTCAGCACAGAATCATTCATTTCCCTTTCTGCCAGCAAAGCTGCTTTGTACACACCACAGGCAAAGTCTCCATTACACTTGCAGGACACACACATCTTCCCCTAAACCCCAACATTACCAGTAGGGTTAGACAGCAAGCTACACAACTGTGCATGTATATCCAAAAAGGGAAGGGGTGTGGAAACAGCAGTCTATTGGGAGAGCTTCTAGACACACTGGTTTCAGGCTACGAGGTACGTAACAAGTGTCCCAGTACACCACTGATTTAAGCTCATCTCAAAGTCCATGAGTTGACAAAGGATTCAACTGAACTATGCCAACATCAGGGCCAAGAACACTTGGTCTTCACTTTCTCCCCAGTAGTAGGATAGCGCTATATACTTGCAGGAATTAGAGTTCTAAAAAAGGTGTAAAGGTATTTTTCTGTTGTTTTAATCAAAAACATTAAAGGGGAGTTTAAAATATAAAAAGATATGTGAGCACATTATCCAGGAGACAATAGGCCACACTGACATCTTTCCAGGCTGCACTTTATCATAGGTAAACCACAAGTGTATTTACATATACAATGCAAAACATATATGCATCCCTTTTTTATTGAGAGAGTTTGCAGGAACCTGAATAGTCATTCAGAATCTTCTGTCAGTGTCATAGCAGAGACCACCACTGATCTCTGAAGCTTTAAAAACCCAACTCCTTCCCCAGATTTACTAGCCTTAGTGCTTCCTGGAGCGTGAGGCAAGGTAAGGAAGGATAGGAGTTGAGATTTTCCCCCACTTGACCTTTGCTGCAGACAAAAAAAATTCCACATTCACATTTTGCTCCAGGTCAAAGTTCCCAACAAAGTCACAGTAATGGGATCATTACAGGCATGTATGGAGTCATTGAGAACTGTACTACTGTCTGTAACTAGTGTCAGAGGCTACTGACACAAAACAGCAGACAGAAGGGACTTCTGGTCAAGCCATGCTTGGCCTCAATTTGAACCAGTGCTCCGAATAAGCAGCTTGCCCATTAAACAGCCCTCTCTGAGATCAGAGGGTACTGCTGTAGCTGTTTCCAGAGCTATGCCAGCACATTAGCCCCAGTAACTGCAGACATGTTAGGACATCACCAGATCTAGCTGAGAATTTACTTGTATCAAGCATGTTTGGCAGCATTTCCCAATAGCTACACTGTTTGCTGCATGTCTGTGAATTGTTGAACCTAGAATCCGTAAAACACAGCTATATTACAGAAGAAATACCATGGTCTCTAGCAGGTTCTAGCTTTTGAGGGAGACTGTTCGTTCATCTTTCTACCCACATTTTACACCTCTATAATTTCTTCAGTTTAGTAAGTTAAATCTGTAAATGCAAATATCTGCTTTATTTCTCCAGAGTCACCATTGCTCTAAATCAATTCAGGTCATGCTGAAATTAGCCTTGCCCTTCACCAGGTTAACAGCTTCTCCAGTTTTGCTATAATTAATACATGTACATAGACAAATTACAAATAAAGTGAAAGACAAAATAGAAGTAGGATTACTTTGTAATATTCTTTTCATGTCCCTCAATTCCCAAGTTCAATCAGAAGCCTCTTAAGAATCGCACTGTACTGCAATTTAATAAGTCAGCAAAAAAGAGACATTGCTAGAAAGTACTTAATAAAAGAAATAACATGTAACCTACATGAGATTCTTCAATAAATGTGAGCATCACACATAACCCTACCTGTTTTCCTGAAAAAGGGAAAAAAAGCTCACTCATTTTCTAAGCTTGACCCTTCTTCATTGTTCATTCTAGATGCAAAAAGATTCATCGTTTAGTCACTCTGGACAGCAACAGGCCTGCACTTATCACGGTTGAATGTGTCCTCACAGTTCGTTCTCACAGTTTATGGAAAGCCAAGTACTATGACTCATAAAACTGCTGCAAGAAAAAGCTGAAACAAGTTAACAGAATGAGCGTCTTTAAAGTGACATCCTTCATCCTACATTTCCGGCATGCAGAGCCAAAACCACATCACACTTTCAACTGACAGATTTAGAACTATTATTTGTCATAAATGGCAAGACCTTCACTGAGGCCAAGTAATGATTCATGATATTCCTGAACTGCTCACAGATCTTAAGTACACTTTAAGCAGTAGAAGGTCTGATTCTATGTTCTAGAGAAAAGGGGTTTTTTTAACTAATGTACCATTCTTTTCTTTTTGGAAAATTGTATTTTCTTCATGCTGAGAATCGTCATCATGAAAATTCTTACCTGTTTTCCATCTAGCGTGTATAAGCGTTTAACCACTCCCGAATCCAGCTTGATGGCATCAGTTATATCAGTAAGAACCTGTTCAAATGAATGTGCTGTCTTCTTGTTGAGCAGAATCCGGACTGCTTTCCGTGGCTTCACTCCACTCCTGATGATAGTGACTAGTTTAGGCCTAATGAAATCCTTATTCTCTTTTGCATCTGGAGCACCTCCTTTAGCAGTGGCAAGAGATGGCACTGAACGAGAAGTAGAAGTTGTCTTAACATTCACTGACCAGTTTGGGTTTACATTCTTCGTGTACTCCAGTTTCTTGAAGGGTTCTATGGAACCACATACATAACTTTCTCCTGTGGAAAGAAAAGTGAAAGACCAGCAAGTCAGACTAGAGAGGAAGGGGAAAAAAAAAAGAAGAATGCAGAAAAATACAAAATCAAATCCTTCTCAAATTATTAAACATTATTCTTATTGCTCTTGATCTACAGCACATAAAGTATTGATCTCTTCCATTCTCAGATGCTATGGACTATAAAACATATTTTTAAGATCACTCTTCAGCTAACCATTCAATAAAGGCTGATATGAAAATCCTTGAAAGCAGCAGTTTTCTTCTCAGGAAACACCATTTGCAGTGAGGATCACTGCTGTCGGTAAACAGTGTTCATGTTTCCTCAGCTGCCCAGTATCACCGTACTCCCCCAGCCTTCACGCTTAAACGGCCCACCCCTAACAAAAGAGCAGGCCCCAAACACTTCAGAGGAAATAACACGAAAGGTTACCAAAAACAACAGACTCATAAAAAGGTTGATGAAAGTGTTATGGGAGATTTGTTAACATATGATTATTTAAAGCTTTAAGTAGCACAAACTCGGGATATGTATAGGCAAGAAATCTCACTATTATTATATAATATCACTATATTATCACTATCACTGACTCAATATGTAATATTGGGGGAAAGGAAGGCAAAGAGTAGCAACTACAGACTTCTCATCACAACAAATTTACCACACTTAAAAGAAAAATAGTGGTTATTAGTTCCAAAAAGCACATAAGAACCAAAGATATTCACAGAATCACAGAGTGTGACAAGTTAGAAGGGACCCAGGAGGATCACTGAGTCCAGCTCCTGGCCTTGCACAGGACCATCCCAAAGAGTCATATCATGTGCCCGAGAGTATCATCCAAACACTTCTTGAACTCAGACAAGCTTGCTGCTGTGATCACTTCCCTAGGGAGCCTGTTCCAGTGCCCAACCACACTCTGGCTGAAGAACCTTTGCCTAATATCCAACCTAAACCTCCCCTGAAACAACTTCAGGCCATTTCCTCAGATCCTGTCAGTGGTCAACACAGAGAAGAGATCGGTGCCTGCCCTTCTTCTTCCCCTCATGAGGAAGTTGTAACTGCAATAAGATCTCCCCTCAGTCTCCTCTTCTTCAGGCTGAACAGACCAAGTGAGCTCAGCCGCTCCTCACATGGCTTCCCCTCAAGGCCCTTCACCATCTTCACTGCCCTCCTTTGGACACTCTCCAACAGCTTAATATTTTTCTTCTATTATGGTGCCCAAAACTGCACACAATATTCAAGGTGAGGGCCACACCAGTGCAGAGCAGAGTGGGACAATCATCTCCTTTGACTGGCCAATGATGCTTTGCCTGATGCCCCCCAGGACACGGTTGGCCCTCCTGGCTGCCAGGGCACTGCTGACTCATATTCAACTTGCCATTGACCAGGACCACCAGGTCCCTTTCCGTGGCACTGCTTTCCAGCATCTCATTCCCCAGTCTGTACATACATCCGGGGTTGTTCCATCCCAGGTGCAGAATTTGGCACATCCCCTTGTTGAACTTCATATAGTTGTTGATTTCCCAATCCTCTAACTTGTCAAGGTCTCTCTGCAGGGCCTCCCTGACTTCAAGGGAGTCAACAGCTCCTCCCAGTTTTGTGTCATCTGTAAACTTGCTTAGTATCCCTTCCAGTCTTGCGTACAAGTAATTTATGAAGATGTTGAAAAGCACAGGGCCCAAGATGGAGCCCTGCAGAACCCCACTAGTGACAGGTCACTACTCTGATGTTACCCCATTCACTATTAACCTCTTTGCTCAACCTGTGAGCCAATTGCTCACCCACCACATGATGTGTTTATCCAGCTGTGCGCTGAACATTTTGTCCAGAAGGATACTGTGAAAATCAGTATTGAAAGCTTCATTTAAATCCAAAAAGATTAAATCAGCTGGCTTCCCTTGATCAACTATTCCTAGTGATCCCTATCCTAATGAAAGAGGACTCAGTTCAACTATTAAAAGTATTTAAGATTTACTTCTGAAAATAGATTCTAATGTTTCAAGGCATCCAACCCAATCCCACAAATATTATAGCACACAACAAATAATGCAGGCAGATGCAGTCACCACAGTTAGAAATGGAGGCAGGGAACACTGGGACTTAAGGCTTGCATGCAACAGAGATTCAAGTTTGTTGGCACTGTGCTCAAAAGGTGAGACAACAACACACTGTATAGTGATTATCAAAAAGGCAGTGGAAGAAGTCCAAAAGAACAAAGAAGCCAGAACAAAATGTGAAAATGGATCACTGAGCAGAAAAAATACAGGCAACGACAGCAAGATCAAAAAAGAATCATAAAATGATTTTTTGTTTTCCTTTTCTTTTTTAAAAAACCCATTATTTTAAAGCAGAACAAAATACAGAGTGGAAGATAAAGTAAGGCACTCCAGTGCTTACTGCTCATGGTGTAAATCAAGTTAGTCTTCACTTTGCAGTAAAATTCAAAGTGTTAAGAAAAGAATCTAAGATGGAATGCTTATAGAACCTTACAAGAGATAAAGGTAAGCCTTTCCTTTTAGCCATTGTATTCATACACAAGATACATAGATGGATAGATAGATAGATATGTATATAGTAACATCAGAACAGAAAGGCTTAGCTACAGTAATGAGTGATCAAACAGTACATATTCAGTTCTATCATGTCCCTTTCCAATAGTTCTAGTACTAGCTACTCAATTACTGCCAAGTCAGAATGCACCAATAACACCATATCCATAAAATTAACAAGCTTTAAAAAACATTAATAGTATTTTGTAGGGGGAAAAAAAAAGAAATCCTACTATGTTAAGACTGCACTCAATATGATAAATACCTTCCTATAAAATACTTCGCAGAAGTGTCTTCTATGAATTTTTAAACAAAACTTGTCTCCACTTGTGCTTGCTGTAAGACATGAAATCCACCAGAAACATCTTATTTTATTTTTGAGGGGGTTTTCATGTTCAGTCCTATCAGAGAAATTGTTCAGTTTAGTTGCATGAAGTTATTTATTTAAAAACAAGTCTTTATATTAAAACCGACTCTCAAAGGGCAGGTGCATAAATAAATGGCCATCCACAGTGTACTCAGAAGACTTACTGTAGTTTATTAAGAATGCTTTTGGTTCCCCTTCTTGGAAGGGCAGCATTCCATATTATTTTTAATATCAGCTATATTTAAAGGTCAGATGGATTCCTTGTAGAATTTAACTGCACATCAGCAGCTCTTCATTACGTAACTAATTTTGTGTAAATGATCATAAAAAAAGATCAATACAATTGAATATCAGCATTTTTGCCCTTTCTTCATTTCCAACAGTACTATATTACATCAATAAAAAATTTACATGAAGATATTATTTTCCCTTCAAGAGGTACATATTTAGTTACAGAACATCTTGGAGGTAGAGTATCCAAGGCCATTTAAGATGAAATATCTTTAGTAAGAGCTATTTTATATAGGTCAACAGAAATATAGACACTTCTCCCATAATGCTGTTATTTAAGACTGTTTTAAATGTTAGCCAGGGACTACAGTTCTCATGTGTGCCATGCTGGTCCTAAGGGTCAGGCCTGTAAGAATAAAAACCTATGGTGTTTGTATGCAGGGGAAATCTCAGAGAAAAAGACAAAAGGTCTTCACCTAGATTTTTGTCCTCTCTTCTGTTTCACTAGCACCTTCAGGAGAGAAGACTGCAAAGAAGTTTCACAAGGGGCATGACTTACAAGTCCAATAAATCCACTTTCTGCTTTAGTTATTGCTTCCTCATCATCAGCTTTGACTAACTGCATGGAAGAAAGTAACAATCTCCAGACACTAGATTCATAACAGAACACCTTGAAGAAGGATTCTTTGCAGATACTGGATTAAGCAAAAGGCACAGAAAATACAGCCACTTAAGTGTCTATTTGTTTGCAGCTCCCCAAGAGAGGGGAGTAAGTCTTTCACAGTGCTGCAACTAATGAAATTTTGACTCTTGATTACAGCATCAATAGCCATTAGAAAAAGAAAAGGGGAACATGCAGCTGTTTTAGGAGATCTGACATCTAGGAAAAAAAGGGATTACTAAATCTTGGAAGGTTTCCCTTTGCTGATAGCCTCTTAAAAGTGATAGTGCAAATGAAACACACACCCTTCAAAAAGATGCACAGCACTAGAGACATGCAACATTGAAGGATAGTTCTTATAGGTCATTACAGAATTTCAAGACATGCTTCATTTATTAAATATGTAATTTTTTAAAATATTATCTGTGTACAAAGTGGTTGCTAAGGAGACATTGAATCACTGTGTGTAAGTACTGGAGTGTTTCTGATGCAAGTGTTTCCCTCTTTGGCATATTGGTATTAGCAGTTAGTCTGTTTTCTTCAGTTTGCTGATATTCTCCCTGCAAGAGTGATCAAGGCATTGTCTCTTAAAATTATTGTATTGCTTTTCTGTGTTTAACGTGATTTGGCCTAAAATGGCTTCATGAGGAAACCGGTTGATCTTAGGCGAAAACCCAACAAGGAAGAGAGAAACAGTTTGAATCATACAAGCAGAGAGGGAACAACCAACCCACTCTTTGTGGAGGCTTCAGGACCTGACAATTTATTGAAAATAGTGTTGATTCCTTGGAGTTGAGTACACAGTAGGAAAGGGAAGTTAATCAACAGGCCCATCCAAGGTGGAGAAAATACAATACTTGCACACTTGGGTAGTGAGAATGTTCAGCAGTGATATATTGGGGTCTGTTTCCCCAATGGATACAGCAAGAAATATCTTAAGAGAATAGGGAAGGGACTAGCATCCCCAGCACTCCATGCCTAGGCACACCTGCCTTTCTTCACTTCTACCCTTTGGTTTTGTACATACAAAAGGCAGAATCTCCATCTCTCAGGAGAAAGGACGAAGAATTCTGACTATCCCTCACCACACAGAGCAGATTGCAAAAGGAAGATGACCTGAATCAAAGAAGTTACTGATAGTTGGTAGTTCCCAAATGTGCTAGTTAATAGAACAATAACCTACTTTAAGTACATT